AGTCAAATTAGTTAAATCAGTTAGATTAGTCAGTATAACAGATTACTTGACCAATTTAACTGATCTGACCAATAGTCAAATTGGTCAGATTGGTCTGTATAACCAAATTATTTGACTGATTTGACCAATATTAAAGTACTTGAACCAGACTAGTCATTGATCATATTGGTCTGGTCAAATAGTCAAATTGGTCTGGTCAAATCAACACTGAATTTAACTATGATTCAACTGATATTCAGTATATCAAATAATTTATATAGTATATTATTCAATATACCAAATATCAATCAAATAATGATAACAAGAATACTAGTTTAATTAATTTGTTATTAGTATATTAATTTTTTTTTATTTTAATAGTTAACCGATTTGTTATATAATGTCTTTGATATGGGTATACAATATCATTCCAAATGTTTCTATCAAAGGTTATATATCGTCAGGAAAATAAATATAGTACAGATCTGTAAAGATCTGCTACTCTGCTAAAAAATAACAAATTTTACGATATCACATAAATCAGTAATCGAAACTCAACGATTTTGGTACCATTCGATTCATCTCAATGAGACAGATCGAATGGTACCAAAATTGTTGAGTTTTGATTACTGGTTTACAAGATAATTGCGTTTAAATAATTTTTATAAACATCTACATAACTCACCACCCAGTGGTCCAAATTTAACGATTTTGGTACCATTCGATTCCTCTTGATGAAACTGTTCGAATAGTATCAAAAATGCTAAAATCGAATCATTGGGTGGTGAGATATTTGCAAAAAACGTTTTGCGGCGCAGTTCTGTACAGAACTTTAAATTTTGTTTTTTAAAGTTCTGCGCAAAACTGTGCTACAAAACGTTTTTTGCGAATATCTCATCATCCAATAATTCGATTTTAGTGTTTTTGATACCATTCGAACCGTCTCATTGAGAGGAATCGAATGGTACCACAATCGTTAAATTTGGACTACTGGGTGGTAAGTTATGTAAATGTTTATAAAAATTACTTAAATGCAATTATCTCGTGAACTAGTAATCAAAACTTGACGATTTTGGTATCATTCGATCCGTCTCATTGAGACGAATCAAATAGTACCAAAATTGTCAAGTTTTGATTACTGATTCACGAGATATCGTAAATTTCATTTTTTTAGCAGGGTATCAGATCTTTGTAGATCTGCACTATATTTATTTTCCTGATGATGTTGATAGCTCCTTAATATAATAATATGTCTGATTGGATAGTAAGAGATTATGATGATGATGATGATGATGTAAGTGAGGAGGAGGAAGAGAAAAAAAAATAAGAGGAAGAGGAAGAGGAAGAAAAAGATGAGTTAGAAGTGGATGAAAATAAAGGTTTCAATAGTAATAATGAATAAAAAGATAACAAAAGTAATAGTAAAAAACTGACTTTTGATATTATAGAAAAACATCAAAAAAATAAAAAATCTAATTTTTTTCTTCTATTTTTTTTTTATTTTTTTTTTCAAATTTTATTTTTGTTTTCTTCTTATTTTAAGTTTTTTCTTTTTTTTTAAAATTTGTATCTAATTTGTAATATTTTTAATAATTTTATAATAATATGTTAAAATTGTCCAGAATTCAAATATTATATTTGTCCAAATATTATTAGTAATCAATTATTGATTATAAGTCAATTTATTGTAATTAATCAACAATCAATTGAAATAACTAATTTGATTTGAATTCGACTATGAATTTATATCAAATATTATTAGTAAGGGATTGTTGATTATTAATAATCAGATATTGATTATAAGTCAATTTATTATAATTAATTGTTCACCAAATAAAATAACTGATTTGATCTGAATTTGGCTATTGATTTTATTCTGAATATTATGAGTATTTAGTTATTAAATAAATTAATTTTATTATGTCAATCAGTTGTTGATTAAAATTTTTGATCTGAATTTAGCTACCAATTTTTTATTAGCATTTAACTGTCTATTAGCTACCAATTTACTCTATCATTCAGTATAATATCAGTTAAATATTTGATGATCAAATTTAGATTGAATCAGCTATTTTATTTGGTGATCAAATTTTTTATATTCAACTAGTATATATATATTTTTAACCAATCAGAATCAATTACACAAAATTAGCCAATCAAAATTAATTATATAAGCATCAAAAATTAGCACTTCTATATATAGATTAGATAACTTTTTACTATTCTGTATTATATATATATATAATTTTATACATATGTATAAAAAAAAACTTCAGTCTAAAAATTTTGTTATGAAAACCAGTTAATATGGGATCTTTGCCTTGAAAATCAAGTTATGGGACATAGTAAATCATATGTCCCATATTTGATTTTCAAGGCAAAGACCCCATATAATTAAGTGATAGTTTGCAGCTAAAGGATATAAATTTTATAGTAAAAATCAGCGGTCATTACTTATAAATTTTAATAGTAGTTAGAATCCTAAAAGTTTATGATTATATGAAATTTTCTTTGTAATTAGCAAAAAAAATTTCATATGATCGTAAAACATAAATCGTTAATATCTTGTAGTATACTGGGTCAATTTTAGCAATTTTATCATTATTAGAACCGCAAAACCTCCTCTACAACTTTAATTAGAAGATCAAAGAAAATTTATTTAATAAAAAAAATAGGTTTCATAGTATCACTAGTGAAAAACTTTTGGGATTCTAACTATTATTAAAATTTATAAATAATATCTACCGATTTTTACTATGATGTTTCTATAATTCTTATACTCTTTAATGACAAACTACCTTTTAATATTTATTTGAATTCTAATTTATATGTTTTAATAGACAATATATCTGTTATCTGGAAAGGATTTACAAATTTTTATAAATAAATTTTACTATTGAACCAAATATGGAGCACTTCAATATAAAACTTTTTTTGCTAAGTAAATTACTCTTGGGCTTCTAACAAAAGTTGTAGAGCTCATCAAGACACATCTAATGGTAATAAGAACATTCAAATTGGCTTTGTGATTCTTGAGAAATCTTTAAAAAACATTTTGATTTCTCAAGAACTACAAGGCCAATTTTAATGTTCTTACTACTGTTAGATGCATCTTGATGAGCTCTACAACTTTTGTTAAAAACCCAAGAATGATTTACTTAGTAAAAAAAAAGGTTTAGATTGGAGCACTCCATATTTAACTCAATAGTAAAATTTATTTATAAAAATTTGCAGATGACAGATGTATTGTCTATTAATATGAATTGTTATAATTTATTATGCAAAAACATCACTATTGACCCACTTAACCCATTTTTATTGACCCACCTGAAAATAAAAAAATTTATCTATCATTATTGACCTATGTAACGTGAGTGCATATGTCAGGGTCTGTATATAAAATGGTCACATACTTATTTGCGCGAGTAATACAAACTCTTAAAAAAGAAATAGCCCATCAGAGAGCACAAATTTTGACTATTCTGACATGAATTCTGAACACATACAAAAGAAGAAAAAAACGAAAATACTCAAAAACTAGTGTCTAAATCGACCTTGATGCATTAATTAAAAATATGAAAAAGAATTTTACATAAAACGAGTAACAATCTATTGCTATAGTCTCTAATGTTAATATCCTAACCCTAAATTTATATCTTTACTCACTTAGTTTATTTACAAAATTCGATTTCCTTTTTTGGTTTGTTATTCGCGCAAATAAGTAAAATCATAAATGGTTCTAATCCTAGTAAAAAGGTAAGGTATCACGTTACATGGGTCAATAATGATAGATAAATTTTTTTTATTTTCAGGTGGGTCAATAAAAATGGGCTATGTGGATCAATAATGATGTTTTTGCATTTATTATAGTAAAAACAAAAAAAAAAAAATCACTGGTTGGGAAGATAAACCTCAACCTAGTCCTCACTCCACCATTACTTGTCATAGCTTGGTTCCCGGTTTCTAACAGGTTGTTCATCTTTAATACTTTTGTATTTCTTCAAGGCATGCTTTTCCTTAAATTATTTTCTAGAGCTTGAGAAATAAAAAAAAACTACCATATTTTCATGCCCACGCAAAAAAAAAAAAAACTACACAAATAAACAGTATAAAAGGTGATGAGAATAATGAAAAAAGATATCCTTATATAACTTGATGTTTTCTTTTTGATTGCAAAAATCGAGTTAATCACACAACTTATCACAAGACAATAATATTGATACTTCGGAGTGTGATTCGTTATCAATTTCCTTAATGTTAATTAAAAGTTAAGCAGAAGACGTTATGTAGTATTGCCATAAATATGTCATGACTACAGATTAATCAGATGGTATCTTTAAAAAACTGGAATTTGGATTCTGAATCACATGAATCCGTATGCAGTTATTATATCCTTTTTCCTGCAATGTGTCTTTTTGGAGTATAGTGTAGGTTTTTAATCGGTGAAATGTACATTGTTAGATGCGATTCTACGAAAAATGCTGGTGAAAATTTCGCGTAACAATGGCCGTTTCTCGTTCATCCACTATAGAAATCATTTCGTGAAACCAGGTAATATTACACCTTCGCTGTATTTGGTGGCATGTGTTAATCACTTTGAACTTGCATTCTTTTATTCAGGTCTTGCACGGGTACTGAAACAGGAAACGGCCATTATTTTTCCTCTAACAACATACGTATTTTTGAAATAGATTTAGAGATTCTTCGAGGTTAAACTGTATTTACTATTATATATTAACAATCATGATTTCGAATATAATTGCCAGCATAGTATATAAAAACGCGAGGACTTTGCGAATAAAGTTGCCTGGCAAGCGTTTTGACAATCTTCGATCAGGAATTTCATGAGAATCTATATTATCAATTGTAATTGTGTTAAAAATAAACTGGGAATACAGAAAATCATCTTCCTGTCCCCTGGTCTTGATCAAGTAATCTCAAGCACGTGATTGGACATGATTACGTAACAGTTGCAGTTTAAACTAAGATCGCTAGATTGAAATCGAAAATTCAATTCCGAAATGGAAGCTGATAGCGACGACGAAATAGACTCTAGAGATTCTCAACAAAGTTCAGATGCTGAAGCGGGCGATCATAGTCCCTTTTCAGAAGGTACTTTACAAAATGACTTCTCTCTTAATTTCTATACACTTATTATATGACATTGCACTTCAGAGGAATATGGCCTCGACGAGACTTTACAACCATTTAATAGTACTGCTTCGTCAATTTTGCCACCGAATCGAAAACCGTTTGCGGAAGATTGTAAAACCTACGACATAGTTCCATTAGTAAGTTGTTATACAGTTGGCGCATTTTTTATTTATTTCATTGTTTTAAATTTAATTGCATGCAGGTCGCAGCCATTCATGCCTGCCACATACATTCACTTGATGCAACAAAAAACATGCGATGGGTTTTTACGGGTGGAGAGGATGGATTTATAAGAAAATACGATTTTTTTTCTTCAATGGGTGGTAAAACATTGCTAACACAAAATCAAAAACATACACAAGTTGAATCTGTTCAAAAGGTGCGGTAGGTAAAAAAACGCGATCGTTTGCACAGGAGTTACTAAATTAACGGAGTGATTCAAATTATAGTATCTTTTATGTTTATATATAGGCAGGTGTAATATTATCATATTGGGAAAATGAGGAAATACCGGAAACTTTACCAGTCACAGTCAAACCTGGTATGCCATAGATGTGTCTCGATAGTAATATTTACCTACTTATTATATCAAAAAATCATAATTGTAGAAAAACCTGACGGGATAGCAGAAGATGATGTCACGCAAAATGTACAGGAACCACCATTGCCGGAGTTAAAAATGTCACCCGTTTATAGTTTAGCAGTACAATCTGAAGCCGTTTGGTTATTAAGTGGTTTAGAGGTACGCGTCAGAACAGTCAATGAGGTTATTTATAGAAATATTTAAATTCCGACAACTCATAAACCAACAAATGAAATTGCAAAAATTTTGGAATCCAGATAATTCATTATTTTGACTTTTACAAAATTATTTTATAATAAGAATTAATAAAATATGTTTTACCATCAGTAGCTTGCTAAGTCACTTATGGGTTGTTAGAATTTCATGCCAAGACCTTATTTTTTTGCGTTTAAGGCAGAGTTATTAGTTATAAACCTCGGTGAACTGCAATACGAATGTTTTGATTGTGACGTTAAGTTTAATTCAACGTATGATTTTAGAGCGGCGCTATCAATTTATTTACCGTTAGACACGAAGAAGGAAGGTGTCACCATGTCATGCGAAAACATAAATCGCCCGTATCCGTTTTGAAGATAACTAATGATGAGACGGGTTTTGTGAGCGGTTCATGGGACAAAACCATAATGGTATGTCATTTATATTGATTATTTTTCAGCGAGCACACTTATGCAAACTATGCAAATTATAGCATTGGGATCTTAACACTGGGCAAATTGCGCGAGAGTATCCTGGTCATAGTTCCCAAATTAGTTCAATAGCGTTTCGGCCTATTACACAATCATCATCATCATCTCAAACATCAATACAAAGTTCACCCACATCAACTGACACAGTGTACGAAGAATCGGATAATACGATAACACATTCTGGTGATATACTACTTACCACGAGCATCGACGGCAATTGCCTTGTATGGGATAAAAGGTCAGGAAATTTGATACCGCCGAGAAAGCTGCCGCTTCCCGAAAAAACGCCACCATGGTGTTTATCGGTATGTTTATTTATCATAGTACCATATAAGATTCGTCTCCTTAATTAATATCGTAACTAAAAAAAAATAAAAATGAAAATAAATTTGTTAAAATCATAGGCTTGTTGGAGTGCCGATGGTAATAAAGTTTACTGTGGGCGACGTAACGGAACCGGTGAATTTTACTTTTATTCATATTTTTTTTTTACGGAAAGCAATCGTATTAACATTATAGTGGAAATTCATGACTAGTGGATGAATGGGATTTTGCTTCAGGCAAACATACTCGCTCATTTAAAATGCCAAGTAATTCAGGTCCAGTGTCTTGTGTGGCTAGCATGCCCAACGGTAGACATATCGTATGGTATGAGGTTCTTTTATATGTTGATTACGTTATATCTTATTACTATAATAATATACATATTTTCGTAAATATTTCATAGTGCATCAACAGATAACATAAGATTATGGAATGTTGGCAACGATGAATCCGAGGCTATAAAGTCGATTGTTCCATTCCTTATCGTTCCAGGGCATCACGGCGGATCCATATCACAAATCTGTATCCTTTTATATATAATATATATGTGCGTAGGTTTAACTCATTATTAAGAATTTTAATCCATAATTCATTTTAGTGATTGATCCAAATTGTCGATATATGATTACGACATCTGGAAATAGGGGATGGGAAGGGTCAACTACTGAAACTGCTTTATTTTATGAAATTATTCCGATTATGAAATAGTAATTCGGTACATTATTTCTTGGTAATGGAATTATTTTTACAGATGCATTTATTAATGCATTATATGATGTTTTGGTGTAATAAAGCCAATTAAAACAATTTTAGCGGAAATAGTAAGTCTCTGGACGCGTTTTTATGCCCACAATAAAAAATTTACATTACAATTACGAGATACGAAAATTTTTGGTTGGGGATTATATTTCTTAGAATTATTACGTGTGATTTGGTAATGATCAATCGCAGATTCGTATAGTTTCTGTCAGATTCGATATGTTTCGTGATCCCGATGTTTTGCGTTAGAAATTTTGTTAGATGTATACATAATAATATTTTGTAACAAAAAAAAGAAAAACGATTTGCAGTCCACGAGCTTTTATGTACACATTTGTTATGTAAAAGTTTTACATATCAGATATGTATGATGTTGATCGATTTAAAAAAATTTACGTAAAATCAAACGAATTTTCTAGTATATATTTGTGAAAACAGCTATAAAGAACAAATCTATTCTAAAGAAAACACGAATAAAAATATTATCCCTTAAACTGTTTTCTGAATAAATTTCTCGAAAAGTATAATTGCCTATAAAAAAATTTA